GTATTATAGTGTATGATGGATTCTGATGTACCTTATCAAACAAATACTGTGTATTTTACTGTTTGTTGAAAGTCGGACAATGTTCTACATTATCTGGCAATGCCTGGTTTTATGTGATCTCTTGAGGCTGAAGGGCAGAATTCCACACAGACTTGATAAATGTTCATGTTATAATTGTCTGTGATGTAAACATATTTTATTCCAAGCTGAGCAGACCTACTGACATATAGATACCCCAAGATAGTTTTGATGAGATCACTTAGACCCATTCATCATAGCGTTAATCAATGCTGTATAACAGCTAATGACCATATAAATGACCAAATGTAGGTACTGTGCTATAGAACTTCTTTTGTGTCAAAAATATTTTTTCAAAAAAATCACACTGAATATTTTAAAAATTTGTTGACATATCTGTTTTCAAATAAATAACATGTACTAGAATTATATGCATATTCAGATATAAAACAAATATTTACCAAACTTATTTGGAAACATAAAAAAAAACAAAAAAAAAACACTGGAATAGCACTGCAGTACCCCATATAGTACTACTGAGATAGATAGATAGATTTTAAAATTTATATAGCACTGGTTGGGGATCAGATTCATCACTAGCCACCAAGCACAAAATCTGTGGTCTAGTGGTTAAGACAGGCTAGTTATCTGAAGGTCATGGGTTCGATTCCCACCAAAATCACTTTGGTTGCTTTTTCGCAAGCATTTGGAAACATACCGAGTATTCAGTACAATGTCACGTCAGATACAGTAGGGCAGACATTTGCCAGCATAGGAGGCTACTGGTTTTTGCTGCAAGTTTTCAGTATCTGAACATGGAGCTGAAACATGCTAAAGCCAATTGTACACTACCTAGCTCACTAGAAAAATCATAATAGTTTCAACCTCATGGGAACATGTTTTTTAGCAGCTAGGGAATCAAAAATATATAATCAGTAAGAAAGGTTTCACAGTATTTCTAATCAATTTTAATGCCATCATCAAAGAAAAGTTTGCTTCTTAGTGTAATTATTATGCCACAATAATTGCTTTCATGTCATCTGAAACTTGCTATATCAACAGCAAATAATGAGCATATTATATTATTGGCTAAATGAGACCACATGCAAATGACTGATCCATTAGGAAATCCTCTCACCTTCTAATAGTTGGGCAGTTGGTATGTTAAGCCATCTGACTCATCAGAACGTAACCTCTCACCTTTACACATTTTTTCAGTGGGTTGACGTCATCTGACACATCAAGTAAATGATCCCCTTCATCATTTTCACATTTGGGCATTGATTTGTGAATGTAAAGTATCTATCAGAACACTAACCACTTCACCTTTGAACATTTGGCAGCGGCTTATGAAGAACCCACAGTAAGCCATTAGGTTCCCATACATAGCTGCCAAGTTGGGAGGTGTTTCTGGCTCTAGAGTCCACATCCACCTCAAGCCCCACCAGGGTTGGGGGTGAGGTGAGAAATTTTTATTTTTAGAACCTCTACATGTCCAGAAATGGCACTCAGACCTAAAAAAGTGTCTTAATTTGAAAATTGAATGTTTACATTTTGAACACAAAAAATTAAGCCACCATGAGATATGTAATACTACAATTAGAAGGCCAACATCGTCAAGTGAGCTGCAATCATTACATAGTAACTGACAGTTTGTTCATAAATCTAAGTCATTTTAGATTACAGATTTTCACATATAAAATATGAAATTACTTCAAAAAGAGTTCACAATAAGTTTTGTAGGGTGCTGGCATGAGAGATTGAGTCTCACACCAGATGCACGAGACTTGGTAGCATGTGCTCACCTTAGGTCCTTCAGGAACACAAATC